AGTGGGCGGAGCGATTAGCGGTGACGTACTCGTCAAGTCGACGTATAAAATATATTGTTGTTTATTTAAATCTTTTTTGTTCGCATTCCTTTCATAGACACAGATCCAGCAGACGAACTGTATAAAAGCTTTGTACAACTACTTTCAAAAACAAAATACCTTTTGGTAAAATTTCATAAGTATGAAATCCGTTAAGGAACAAGTAGTTAATGAGTTACATAAACCTGCTAGAAAAAAATGAATGCGAAGAAGGGTAATTGTTAAAGAACTAAATGATCTTTTACAGGCAGATCTAGTAGAAATGCAACCATATTCCAAATTTAACAGGGGTTATAGATATATTTTAGTTGTTATCGATGTGTTTTGAAAATATGTTTGGGCAGAACCTGTAAAAACAAAATCTGGTAAGGATGTTGCCACAGCAATGAAAACCATATTACTTACTTTAAAAACCAACCTACAAAATTTGCAAACGGATAGGGGTACAGAATTTTTCAACCAACATTTCCAAAGACTGATGGAACGATTTAAAATTAATCATTATAGTACTTTTTCCAATTTAAAAGCAAGTGTAGTAGAAAGAGTAAACCGAACATTAAAAACCAGAATGTGGAAAATGTTTAGTTTGCAAGGAACCAAACAACCAAACCAAACAACACCAAACATTCGACAATTGGAATGAAACCAAACCAAATAAATAAACAAAATGAAAAGAAGATTTTAAGATCAATCTTTACTCATGCTAAAACAGTAGATTCAATACTTGCTAAATTTAAAGTTGGAGATCATGTGCGTATAAGCAAGTATCGCGAGGCGTTTTCCAAAGGTTACACTCCAAATTGGTCAAATAAAATATTTAGAATTAAAAAGTTAAGATGACAAATCCCAGAACATATATAATTGAAGATGAAAGAAATGAGGAAATTCATGGTGGATTTTATGAACAGGAGTTACAGAAAGCAAAACACTCTGATGTATAGGTACCTCGTTGAAAAAGTTCTAAGAAGAAAAGGAAACAAAGTTTATGTAAAATGGTTAGGATTAGATAAAAAGTTTAATACATGGATTAATAAAAATGATGTTGTATAGTTGTTTTATGTAACTTAAAATAAAATAAAAGCACTAATCAGTATAATATAGTTTTATTTAATATTTGGTTAAATACAAGTATTAGCAAATCCTGTTAAATACATTTTAGTTCTGTGTTCTTTGCTTAGTATTGGATCAAGAATAAGCTGACAATTATTAATTCGTTTTTCAAAACGAAGTCTATCTAAATAATAAGTTCTAAATTCACTTTTTCGTGCTTGTTTATAAGCAAAATTCCACTGCACTAACACATAAAGTTTATTTTTCTCTTCCTGAAAAGTCACCGATTTCTTCATAATATTTTCTTTTGAGTTCATTCCTCTTCAACCTTTTTCCCAATTCCTCCGGGTATTGTATCAGGAACTCTTCTCAGGAAGGTTTTGACTGTTGGGATTTTGATTGGGTTGCAAAATGTAATAAATATCATCAATAGGATCACCTTCCTGAATTGAAATGCTGGTTTGGAATACTTTAAGTAAAGTGAAAATTCTTGTTTCTTTATAATAGAAATCATGTAATCCACAACTTCCTTTAATCGCCATAATGTTTCTATAGACTCATATCCCAAATATACATAGCTTGAATATTCTTCTTTAATTTTTATAACAGGAAGACTGTTGACTTTCTCAAAATATAATTTTAAGTTGTCTATATTCAACATGGGTTCGTTAATTTGCTGGGGGAAGCAGAAGTAGTTTTCAATAACACCCCGATGACTGCAAACATTGTTCCAATTTTCTTCACTTAGAGTTACAGAAAAACCATTTTTTCCACCGATTATAATTTTCGGTGAAAAATCTTGATTACTTATACCAACAATAACAAATTTTGATGAAGTCAAAAATTTTGATGATTCAAAAAGAAAATTTTTGAATTTAAAAGATTTTCAAAGTTTTTAGAAGACATGGTGAATGAACTAAATAATATTAAGTTCTTCTCTTACTTTAATATTCGAACCCCTACCGTTTTATACCCCCACTTATTCATATCGTTAACTCATGTGCATTGCTTATTGTCTATTCACAACAATGTTTTAAATGAAATTGATTAATGAAAGTATAAATTTCCTGTATGAAATTTATAATAAAAAATGATAATTAAAATTGTGATATACAAAAATATTGTAAAAGTTAAAAAAAGATTAACGATATTCAAAGTGTTATATCCATTATTTTTTTCATTAATAAATTTAGTATAGTTGAATGATTCATTTTGAAAATGTGTATATTTTAATTCGGATCTTTCAATCCAATTAGTATCAAAAATAGTTTGATTGGAATAATGATATAAAATTTTAAAAAACCTACTAACATTTTCTCCTTTGTTTATGGGATATATAAAACTATATGTATTATTATTGATTAAACCAACTTTCATAAACTCACAATTTTTATCAAGTGTAATGTTTGTTTCGTTCGAAAAACATATTTCACATCGGGTTACAGTAGGGAGATAATGAACATAAATAACATTTTGAAATATGAAATAAAGGAGAATAAAATGGGTTTGATGAGCCATTGAAAGTATGTAAATATTTTATTAAAAATTTATTTAACTACAATTTACTTCCATTCAAGATGATTACCAAAAAATGATATTTGACAATATCTTTTCTATAGATGAATATAAATACTTATTAGCATAAGAAATATATGTTGAAAAAAAGATGTAAATTAATGAATAATTATCATCAAAATTACACGTTCCAGTGAATTATTAGATTTTTTGAATTTTTGTTTCTTATTTTTTTTGTTTTGGCTTAACCACAGACATTCATTTAAATTACATAATGGAGAAATTTTGTGATGCTCTTCGATAGGGACGACAAAATAGGGACAGTCATCATAGAACCATTCATAAATTTCAGTTCCACAATAGTAACATTTGCATACATCACTATATGAAATATGATAAAAGCCTGCTCCGGCTAATACCTCAGACTCCAATTTTCCATTCCAGTTTTTAAAAGTAGAAAGTCGATTTTCATAGGTTTTATAAGTAACATCATCAATATCTTTATCAAAACTTTCCAAACACATCTTAAGAAAGGTTAATAAGAAATTAAATATTTTCAAAGGCGTATTCTTTAAGTAGGTATATTTTTCATTAAAAATGCATTATCCCATATAAAAGTATATTATTAATAAGTATAACCTAAAATACAACAATTTAAACTTATCCAACATGTAAAAAATATATTTTAGTTATTTAACAAAATTATATGAGTCACTACAGTCTACATTATTACATAGATTAGTATAACCCTTGTATATGAATTTTTAAAGTAGTTCAACCTAAGACGTTTATGGATGTAAAGCACCAGATGGCGGGGCGTATTTCACGGTCTTTTACTACAGAAAAATATTTTTGTTACTCTGAATTTTGAAGCGACCAATAAAAACAGAGAAAATAAAAATCGATAATTTTCGGACTGTGCCAATTGGTTACTAATCGCCCAGATACTTTTTGTCTATTAGATATACTATAAAACCTGGTAATTATACAATTCGACCATTGTAAATACCCGACAAATTCCGCAAGGCCGACGAGGCCGATGCTTTTCAGTGATAAGAAAAAAAGTGTTTGTTTAGATAATTTTCGAGATATTTTTTCTTTCTGAATGCACATTTTTAAAGTATTTTATATTCTTTGTCCGCTTGATCTATTATACTGGTTGCACGTATCGAAGTTCTGTTTCTTCTAGTTTTAAAAAATGTTCTTATTTCTTTGTAGTTGTAGTGGTTGTAGTGTAAAATTAGATTAATTTTATTAAGTATAATTATAATGTTTAGTGTAGAATACCAGAAATAGTTTAGTAGTGTTTTTATAGTTTATTATTTTGTAGTTATAAGTAGTAGATGAAGGGATAATTTGGTTATTTTTTCCTTTTGTTTGATTAATTAGTAAGTTTGATAATTTTTTCAGTGTAGAATACAAGAAGTAGTTGTGTAGTGTTTTTATAAAAGATTATATTAGTTTATTTTGTAGATGAGTAGTAGGTGAAGGTATTTGGGTATTTTTTCTTTTTGTTTTTCTTCTAATTGTCGTAATTCTATTAAGTATTGTGATAGATACACTATATCTTCCTTCAACTTCATTGAAAAGTGCGTTATCATATAATTTTGGTTTTCTGGTAGTAGAATCGAAAAAAAAATCTGATCAAATTTATTTTAAATTAAATTAAGTCTTATTAATCAAATTAATCTAGTCAAATAATAATAGTTAGTTTCTAAATACTATCCAGTGTGAGTTTCCTACGATGTTCTCTGTGGGTATCTCGGGAACTACTGGAGATAGAGAGTCTGTTAAATGGGGAAAGAATTGCAGTTTTGTGGAGTCATAAATATACGCCTTTCGGATTTTTCGGAGAAGTTCAAGGCTTTCTAGATATTTCGAAAAAAACAAATTTTGGCTATTTTAAAACTTGTCTCTAATTACATTATAATCTACCGTATGATCGAATAAAAACGGCATCAACGATGGCTATGAAATGAAGATCGCTGTCATTTTATATGTAAAATTATATGGGAAATATCATCGATCGTCATTTCATAGCCATCGCTGACGCCGTTTTTATTCGATCATACGGTATTATAGACAAAAAGTTTTCAGATAAAAGTTGTAGATAATCACATACCTAATGAGTTTGTGTTTCCTGTTTTTTTTTCTAAAGCCTGTCATTTTTGACATATGACACAAACATTATGTTTTTTTTAAATGGTTGTTGATTATATATACTGTATTAAATAAAAGCAAAAATAATCCACAATTTACAATAAAATAAAAGTTTCGTTTAAATTTCTTAATCAGCTGATCACTATTAAAGTTCGCAGAAACCCGGGGCTATATTATTACATTACTCTGAGGAAAATAACGAAAATAATCGATATTTTTGACTCCGCCCCGAAAGGTTCACGATTTGTCCTCCAGTTGGCAGCACATTTTGTCTAGTCGGTTGAACAACTTTAAGAATATATAAACAAGGGTATAACTTAAAATACAACAATTAAAACTTATCCAACATGTAAAAAATATATTTTACTTATTCAACAAAATTATTTGAGTCACTACAGTCTAAAAAATACATTATTACATAGATTACCATTTAATATGTAATACTAAAATACATAAAAAATATATTTGTTCCTGTATAACTCTATAACTAATATCTATAAATTATAACAAGTTTAAAACACTCATAAGAGGAATTATAAATTAAATTTAAATCATTCCAGAATGGAATGCTATTTCTGTTTTAATATTTAATACATTATATTTCTAATAAGTATAAGTTCAACTTTTCATAATTGCGTAAAGTTTGATGTTTCACACCATTAAAGAGTTTTATGGTAAATGTTAAAACTAAAAATAAATATATTGTATTATTTAAAAAATATATCGAGGTTTGGATTATCTGCATTCCACTGGTAAAATGAAATATCATGATGACCCCAAGCAAGTGTTTTAAAATCATGTGGAATTTGATATCTTTTATTATCTTCAGAATTCAAAGCAATTTTATGTATTAATTCAGTAAAAATTGAATGTAGTCTACAACGAAAAACATACATGGAGCAAAAAGTTTTAGAATTATTTTCTACTACATCTTTATAATGAATAAAATCTAATTGGTTTTTAATAGCATGTTTTTTTAAACCTTTGGCTTTCTTTAATAAACAATTTTCTGTTTTCACGCAATATGCTTTTGCCCCCGTACCATAAAATGATTCAATGGGTTCACCAGCATATTCATCCTTAAATTTACCAACAACTGATTGTGTTATAGGCATCTCATGTATATTATTTGGTAAATAATTGGAGGTATCAAATTTATGAATATTTTTATGCATATCATGATAAACATTATTTGTTGTAATTTCAAGTATAAGTGAATCAGTGTCTGTATACAGAAGAGCTACATTATCTTTATACAAAGGTTCTAAAAAATTGTAATATAAGTCATACAGAACCGTTTTTGAAATATCTAATATGGAAAAGCCAACATATATTGGTTTGTTGTATACGGTAATACGGCTTTGCAATGAGATTTTCAGCCCCATCTTTCCTTTTGTTTTTTTCCCATTCGGTAACAAGTCTTACATCAACTCTCCTATCCACATTTTCCATTGTTTTTCCATATATACTATTGTTCGCTAATATAAAGGTGTGACGATCAAATTCATTTTTAGACTCATTACGTAACTTTGTGTTTAAATCTATAAATTTTTTCAACCAAGCAGATTGAGAAAATTGTATCACTCTATGGATTTTAGTTAACTTAAGACCGTTTTGCAAACATTGTTTTAGAAATTGGTAATGAATAACATATTTTGATTTATTGTGCAAATTTGGAATTAATTTTGTAGATTTTGAATTAGGTGGTTTATAATTTTCTGGACAAAAAGGAAAATCGTTGTGACAGTCATGAAGTTGTTCAGGATATTCTAAATCAACTTCTAGAACATAACCTTTGCTAGATGTATTAGAAATTGAAAAAATATCTAGATCTTTTATTTCTTTTTCTGTTAACCATCCAAAATAGTCTAGTACACTATTATACACTAGTACATTATATACTTATTAGGTTTTGTTGCATCAAATTTTGAAAGAAAAGGATTATTTGCCTCAGATTTTCTAGTTATATACAACTTACTCCACCATGAACACTATTTTTAAAAAAATGTATCATATCTGGATCTATCAGTAATTCCAATTCTATACCTGTATAACGTAAACAAGCTTTCCATGATAAACCGGAATATGTCTAAAAGTGTGCAGGGTCTAGTTTATATGCTGACAAACATGTTTTTCGAAAATTTTCGAAAATATCAGCTAAAAGCATTGTGTTAGATAGCAAATATATATCTGAATAATGTCCTATACATTCACATTCAAATAATTTCCAAACTTTAAGAGCTCTTTCATATTCCTCGTCAGAAATATGTTCATCTGTTAAACTATTAAAAAACTGATCTTTTTCAGGGAGAAATTTTTCCTCTAATTTTTCAAAACTATCGATGTAATTGTAAGGAAACACACCTTTTTGACGAATAAGTTTAAAATGTTCCTCATCTTTAAAAAAATTTCTTACTTCTATACATAGTTCATCTTTTAGGGTATCTGAAAGTTTAGATAAAGAAAATGATAAGAATTGAAATGAGTCGATAAATCTAAGTGATAGATTCTTTTTTTTTAAATTTCTTGTATGTCTATCAAAATAATTGTCTACATGAATATGTTTTTCAAAGGATATATATTTTTCTTTATTTTGTGGAATTACTGATAGTTGTTCTTTATTTAAACACATATTCTTTAAAAATAGGTGGCTATCGTAATTACGTAAGTTGTGCATTATAACTGGAATAAAATTAGGAATTTTATAGTTTATATTACACAAAGAATGAGCTGGTCCTCTATAGTTGCCCGTAATGTGACAATCATGGTGACAATGATCGGCAACTTTATCCTCTAAAAGTGGCTTATCACAAATATGACAGTTTTTAGCATTGTTACATGTAGTTTGTTCTAATTCTGTTAGAGTATTCATTTTCTTAGGAGTCTTTAAAAATGTGTGATATAAATTTAACGCATCTTGTTCTAGAGAATTTATAAAAACTTTTTCACTATCCAAACCTCTATATTTTTCAAACTTAGAATATGCAACATCAAATGAACATTTGACATAGTACGCAAAAGAGTATGGAATATGTTCAAATTTTTTTACAGTATATGAACTATTTGGATCTTCTACATTTTCATTATTATTTAAAGGTTTTAAAATACATTCAAAGTCTGCATAAATCGCAAAAGGAACTTCCATTTGTTTTTGATAATTTATAAATTTTAATATTTATTTTCGTATGCTACATTTCCATATCTATCTTTAACTAGTTCTTTAGAAGGTAAATTAATTTTAACATGATCACAATCATAACTATTATGGTATTGTAATTTTTGTTCTGTATCAAAATATTGCAAACATCCTTCGCATAAATATTTTCTACCATTGTGTTTACTAAGTTGTTTAGAAATTAATTTAGAAAGATCGGAAATGTAGCAATAATGAAGATTTCCATCATCATCGTTTATCAATAATAAATTAACATGAATATTTTTTTTAGCATTTGTGAAATGTAGAGGACCTATTACTTCATATTCTTCATTATTAGAATTTTTATTATAATATTTTTCTAAACCATATACATTAATAGAAATATTGTTTTGATTTTCAAATTTTTTAATGTCTTTTAATGTTATTGGAAAGTTAATACCTGCAGTGTTCAAACCCGTTGAATAATGAGGGTATGATGATGTAACAAAGTCAACACCTGTTGGAGTATGAAGAGCTGCCATGATAGACCAAGCAAAGCAGTAGTCATCGTTATTTCTTATATTAACTACAGCTTGACGTCGTACTATTTCAGGAGGTAGTTCAATAAATGATGATGCTCTCAAAGGATTGAATTTATTGATGTTAATTTCCAAATGAATAAAATTAAGTAAGATCCATCCTGAAACCAGAAAGCAAATTAATTACATATATATTTTAGATTAAAGTTAAACACTTACCGGAATCTTTTTCTGCGAACTCATCTGCCTTATTGTCAATAACTGTTGCAAATTCTTCTATCACATCCTTTGTTTTGGCACTATTGCAAATTACTTTAAATGGAGTGTTGAATGATTTTACATCATGATTATCAGTACTTGGATTATAATAATAGCCAAAAAGCTCCATATTAATTTTAAGGCATGTATGTTTTCTTAATTGATCCTCAAATATACGAAGAATCATTTGTTCCAATTTTATAAAGTAATTTTTAACATTTACGATCATCTCCTCCATAGATAATCTATATGTTATTATTCGTTCTTTGAATGCAGATTTAATAATTTGTACTCCTGGTTGTTAAAATATTTTAGAATTATTTTTATGTGCGTTTGATCGCAGATAACCAAACCATAAATTTTGTGATACTGACTCTGCATTCTTCACAATATTTCTCTATAAAGACAATTATTTTGTTAATTTCAAAAGGTTATAACATAAAATGAAAAAAATCTTACTATTATCTTCAGGTGTAGACTTTGTCAACAATCTGTTTAGAAAGGAAGATTTGTTGCAGGCACTCTTTAAATGGCGAGATAGGTTGTCTTTACGAGTAAAGGTTTTATTACACGAGGGACAATTAAACATCTTTCGATTTTATTCTGTAAAATAATTTTATGGTTTTATTATTAAATTTTATACTGTTATATGATAGGTTAAATTTGGAAAAAGGAAACGTATAAATAGATTAAAAGAAAATATTTAATTAAAAGAATCCACTAGAGTATCGAAAGATTTTTTTAAACGTTCTAGTCCTATATTTTCATTTGTTATGTTTGTTTTTTTAACAAATTCTTCCAAAGCGAAGCCAAGAGTTTTTAATTTTGAATAAGGTTTTAAATACTTGAATAAGGTTTAAAATATTCGATTTTATTCTTAAATGTTTCTCCTTTTTCATCGGAACTAAACTCTTCTATTTTTTGAGAGTGTGCCGGTGAAAAAGGAGAAATGTTTTGACAGGAACTAGGCTGACCCTCATTTTTGGAGTCATCAATACATTCCATTATTAAATCTAGTTCACTAAAATTATCAATTTCTTTATTTTCATCACTATTATTAGAATTATTAAACTTACTATTCTGTATTAATGACTCCTCAAATTTTGAAATAGAGTAATTCGTCAGTTCTTCCAAAAATATTTCGTTCGAATCAACGTCTCTATTTTCAACGTCGGTTAAAAATGTGCTATGAAAATGGGTTTAAATCAACAAAGTTTTCTATTTCAAATGGTGTAAAAAGGTTGTCTGGATTTACAATGTCACTACAGGTCACTATTATCAATTTCATTTAAGAAATTATCTAATTCCTGATTGAAATTAATAACTGGTGAGTTAGGTCTAGTCATGTTTTTATTTAAATTGTTATTATCTGAGTTAAAAATAAAATGGGGGTCGGAAAAATTGTTCATGGAAATGATTTGCAAAATATTAATTTTTTCAGGATTCATTTAAAAAAATATTTACCTAATATGCACAAGTCACAACACAAAATATAGCGAAAACCGAAAAACCGAAACCATAAAACTTATTTGACAAACTTTTCGAAAGTACACACATTACTTGCTCCTCTGCTTGCTCCCTTTTACTGGTTGCATTCACAAAACACAATAATAAACACATACCACGCTCTCATGCTCATTTTTGATTGTGGATAAATTCTAAGGTTATGTGTTTATTTTTTTATTTTTTTATGTGTAAAATTGGTTGATTTGATTATATTTTATATCATAAATTTATGTTTTAATATCACAATTAACAATGGAAGAATTAGAAGCGTCTGAATTAGGAACACTACAATACTGGGAAAATAGATACAAAAAAGAAATTGATAATTTCTCTAACCATGGTGATATGGGTGAAATATGGTTTGGTGAAGATATAGCTGACAAAGTAATTCTGTGGATGTTCAAAAACATCGAGAAATCTTGTAGTATAGTAGATGTCGGATGTGGTAATGGACACATATTAATAGAGTTAGCTAATGAAGGATACGTGGATCTAACTGGCTTAGATTATTCAGAAAAAGCTGTCAATTTAGCAAAAGCAATTGCAGCTAATAAACATTTTCAAATTAGGTATCATGTGTGCGATATACTAAAAGGTCTTGAACATACATATGATATTATACATGACAAAGGGACATATGATGCCATTAGTCTAAGTGAAAATTCTAAAGAAAGCCGCGAAATGTATATTGTTAGTATAAAGCAAGCTTTGAAACCAAATGGAAATTTCATTATTACATCCTGCAATTGGACTCACAGTGAACTGCAAGAACAATATAAAGATTTTTTTAAGCTACATTATATTATTCCAACTCCTCAGTTCATGTTTGGTGGAAAAATTGGGAGTGTTGTATCAATATGTGTTTTTAAACATGTAAATAATTAACTATTTATTCTTTGTTATTAAAATTAGTTTTATTAAAATATCCTAATATATAATACATTTCTTTTAAGTTGACTAGATATTCATATTAAAAAAAAATACATAAAAAGAATGCTACTTCTTGAAAATCCAACTCCTGATAAGATATCAAATTTTAAGCAGGATTTTTTATATTAAGTGTCTATAATTATTCAGTTCTAGTAGCATGTAAAAATAACTTTCTTTGTTAACTTACTAATTTTGTTTTTTATCACAATGTTCTTTCAATATATTATCATTCCTTTCTGATAATTCAATGGCACAGCATCTTGGGAACCATCCTCTTTGTCTATACATTGCCTCTTTACCCTCTGGAATGTTACTTTGATTTTTTTCTCCAAACAACCAATACCTAAAATAAAAATGGATTATATTTTCAAATTACCAAAATATTTTAATACTTTTTATTACTTTCCCCATCTGGTAACTCTGACTTCATCATTCACCATTAGTTTCAATCTAGTTTCATCAGTACAAGGGAAATTATAGCATACTGTAAAACCATGTGATAATGGAAACCAGTAACCTGAAGCTGGTTTAATAATTTTATAAGTTTTTGATTTAAGTCTTTTCTCATTCTTTTGTTCCATTTGTTCTACCTAAAACAATTTAATATAATAGAGTTTTTTAAATTAATATTAAATAATTACTGTAAGAGAATATTTATGACATCCTTCACCGATTGGCCAATTAATACCATCACCAATAGGATGGCCACTGAAATTTAATACTTGTTTTAAATTTTTCCGCCATCCTAAATTATATGGAAATTTAAATTTATCAGCATGATTTCTCTTACGATAATTAGCTTTTTCTACAATCCAGTCTTCAATTCCTGTACGATTTCTATAAATGGACCTCAGCTAGCAAAGCATTAGTGTGATAAAAAAAACAAAACAATACAAACTAGTTTTCTCTTACCTGAAAATAAAATAATATCCCTACAGCACATACAACACCGATAGCAAAGCCTAATGAAAGAACTGTCAGTATCATCCCTGTTAAGCCTAAATGTACTAGAGGAACATTATTTACTTTATGATATAAATAATTCAACCTATTAATAGCCCTGAAAACAGCATTAAATAATTATGGGAATATATCATATGAATAATAGTTATAATAAAACCATTTAAATATGTTGTCGTTGTGTGTTAAGTTAAACAGTTTTACCTATATAATGAAAATCCTAGTACTATGGAAGCATGAGCACAGCCTATAGTAGCAAAAAGTAAAAAATATGTAAAATGTGCATGATTTCCCCATCCAACACAATTATTAATCCAGGGGCAATGATGGTCCATCTTTAATACACATTTTCCACCTAAAGCATTTAGAATTTATACTGGCCATTCTATGAATATACAATAATATTTAGAAATAATACATTTACGGCAATGATGAGATCTAGGTGCTTTGTATCCTTGGCATACCCCACATTTCTGCAAATACTTGCACTCATCAAGATTCTCCTAAAAAGAAAAGTAGTTATAGTAAGTTTACTTAAATATTGATTATTACTAACTGGTTTCCACTTTAAAGGTAAATAGCCTGGACCTTGGTACATTGAAGAAAGAAAGTTATAAAGTGTAAGTCCAGAAAGACTCATAAAACATAATGTATTCAAAAATCCTCCAAATGTTGTCGATGGCCACCACATACTGCTGCAATGAATGGTCATGCCGGTTACCAATTTTATTATTGCTGTAAAATAAATACAGTAAGTTAAAATAAAATTAAAAAATAATCATTACCAATTGCCGTTAACGGGCCCCAATGGCATATTTTACCAAAAATGCCTACACACATTATAAGAGTTTACACAGAGGTACCTTCAAATCATAATATATTTTGTTTATAATAATGGGACAACGAACATATATTAATATAAGACATTAATAAAATTTTAAATTCCGGTAATGAAATGTACCTAATATATCATAGCTTATAGTTAATTATGAGTACTTTTTAGCCAGTAAAAGTAACCAATAACAATTTCAAAATAGAACTTTTGAAGTACTCCATTCCGTAATTCCATTGATTGGATTACAGAATTCATATTACGGATTACGGATACGGATTTGATACTTGTTTGACAATGACATATTGACAAATATATGATAATATGACAATGGGCGCGTTCCAGTGGTTCAAGTTGGGTTCAAGACTAGTTATTTCTATGGTTATTTCTTAGACATCTTGACCTGTATATAACCTCATTGGGGGACAGGACAGGTAACACCAGGTCTTGTATTTATTAGAGGTGGGTTGTGAAATCGCAGTCCGCTACTTTGTCACAGCTCCACCAACGTCGCAGTATGTGACTGCTCCAGTTCCAAGAAAATCGCAGTGACATTTCGGAGCAGTTTACAAGTTTAGGACATCTGCGCTCGTGACTCTTAATTTCTAACCTACAAATATTTTCAGTTTGGATTTAATTTTATTTTATAATTTCACATAAGTATAATGTATAATATAGTAGGCAACAATAAATAAATATACTATAAATAGTAAAATTACTATAAACAATCGTAAAAGTGCTAACTTTTATCCAGCCTCATCGTACTGCGCATGAGCAAATATATATTTCTTATTTTATATTTTATTTGACTGTATGAACGCACACAAATAAGAATTCCTTATTTCTTATTTTATTTTATTCTTTATTTTATTTTATTTGGCTGTATAAACCCACCATTCCTTCGACATCTTGACCTGTATATAACTCATTGGGGACAAGACAGGTGGCACCAGGTCTTGTACACAGAATATACTAACAAAAAAGAAGCCCAAGTTCCTTGTAATAAATCGGTTCCATTTTCGTAACGCCATCTCTCGACATAGCTGACATTATAGGTTAGCCAAAGGGGTGCGGGGCCGGGGGGAATTGTAAAATACACTTTTTTATTTTATTTTTATTCACTATTTGCAATTTTATTTTTAAAACATATTATGTGAAACAAGCACATAATATGTCTTAAAAATAAAATTACAAACAGAAACAAAAGGAATTAAATAATCTGAAAATCTACAAAGTTTATTGATAAAAAAGTTAGGCTATGCAAATTGATAAGTATATTAAGTATAACCTCTTTGGTATAACATTGTTAAACAAACATTAACAAATCATAACATATCAGATCATAGAACTAAGAAAAGTACTATTGCATAAAAACAGGTGATACAATACTTCAAAATTAATTTTAACATAATATCAAAACCGAAAAATCAAACTGCAAACACAACCACACTTATCACAACAGAAATTAACACACACTTCCGCGGCAAATGTCCAAGAAAGACTGATCCACAGACTGATCATTCTGATTGGTCCTGGTCCGGTCGTAGCTCACGTCGTATTGTCGGTAAGCAAAATCCCTGTCCAAAAATTTTGACGATCAGCGCCATCACCGTCATAATTGGGAAACTTTGTTGGAACCATTTTAATATTTCACGTACATGGTTCCGGTCTTGTATTTATTATTTTATGGGTAACAGTAGCATTGAAAGTGAGGTGTTGTCACCACACGAAATTCTCCAATGGCGTAGCATCAGAAATTAGCTTGTACCTAGACGGTACAAAATATTTATTAAAACGTAAACTAATATATCGTTCATTCTTGAGTAATGCATATACAATTTTGTATTTTATAGTCTCACCTTTATAATATTAGAATATCTAAGTCGATAATGCAAAATTTACTTAACAGTCACAGTGGACTGATTATCAAGACAATTATTTATTTATTAGCCTGTGTATAATGTATAATTGAATAAAAAATAATGTAATAACATATATTTTAAACGTGTATATACATATATACTGTATGATCGAAAAAAACGGCGCCTTGTTTGTTTGGAAATGACAATTTCACAAATGAATATTAAAAACTACATTATTCATTGAATCCGTAAGCAAGTGTGAGGGGAATTGGCTAGATTCATTATTATACCGTATAATCGAAAAAAAAACGACGTCCAGTTGGCTTGTAAATTACGATCGATGACATTCCCCATATAACTCTACATATAAAATGACATAAAAACTATACAAAACGACATCGAAAAAAGACGGCGTCAGCGATGGCTATGAAATGAAGATCGCTGTCATTTATATGTAAAATTATATGGGGAATGTCGTCGATCGTCATTTACAAGCCAAGTGGACGTCGTTTTTTTTTTCGACCATACGGTATAATAATGAATGTAGCCATTACCCTTCACATTTGCTTACGGATTCAATGAATAATGTAATTTTTAATATTCATTTGTGAAATTATCATTTCCAAACAAACAAGGCGCCGATTTTTTCGATCATACGGTATAATAATGAATCTAGCCATTACCCTTCACACTTGCGTACGGATTCAATGAATAATGTAATTTTTGATATTTGTTACTTCAATCACAAGAATATCCTATTTTTAAGAATATCCGAATTTATTCACAAAAAAATAAAACAATTCTAGAAGCTTTGTTATTTTATTTATTTTTAAATTTTTATTAATTACTCACTGAAACTATTATTATACACTTAAATTAGCAAATTCTTTGAAAGAATATTTAAAAAAATATATGTATGTAGTAACAAGTAGCCCACCACAAGTTTGTCCACCCCCAACAAATCTTGGCAGGTAAATTTAAGTTTTATATAACTATACATATAGATTTTTTATCACTAGAATTTTTAATTTTTTTATAGTTTACAATTATTTTACATATTTGATAACAATACTTTATACATTTTTTTATATGTAAAATATATAAAAAAATGTTTATTGCAGAAATTGTATTTCCCTGATTATAATTCCCTACGCCACTGGTGAAATCCGGTCTGAGTAGCAATATTTATAGTTTCAAACATTTATTAAATTACAGGATACTGAAAATATTACTTGGAATTATTAAAAATAGTTTGGTTTGGTTGTGGTACAAGACATATTAAAAGCATTTTACATATTTTTACTGCTATAATAAAAAAAATGTACATTTTATGGCCACATAATAATTCCAGCCACTTTTTTCTCGCTTCGGCCTTTGCAGCCATACGCTGAACCAGCGCTGAACATCTCACCATACTAAACAACACAGTTTATAAATTTAAAACAAAACAGTTGTTACAAAAAACATAAAAATTCGCTCGCTGTCACTTCAAAATCTTGTCACCAAAGTATGGCCGCCGATCGAATTTTGGCCTCACTAACCGATCACGGGAGAATATGCGTGACGAGGGGAGTCGAAAAATGCAAAATTTTCAAATTTGCCGTATATTTCAGCAAGTAAGAGGGCTAGGACAAATCTGTGTGTACCATATTTATTTTCATAAAAGAGTAGCGCAGTGCAAACCGCATCTTTGTATCTCTACTCATAAACGAGAAACTCCATAAAATATACGAAAATGAGACACCCTGCAATGCGTAGAATCCGAATCCGCTAAAAATAAAGGGTTCTTGTAGTAGATGATTTAAACATTTTAAATAATTTTATTTATCCTTTTAGATATTTTACTTCTCGGGGGAGATATACCGGGCGCATCTCAAAAATGTTTCACCTCTATAACTTTTTTCTTTTTTCAGATAAAAAACGATATTTGGTATATTAGTATATGACATAAATTAGGATTGATTGACGTATTCAATTGTTTTTGATTATTTCCTATTTCCTATTTCACAGGAAACGACTACAACTTTTGATTTTTAAATGACCCCCCTGGTATATTTCTACTTTATTCGATAGACAGTGCAGTCGAATACATCCGTAATTTAGATGTTTATTTGTAATACTTGTTGTATGTATATTTGTTTGTACATTTTAGACTCTTATTGTCCAGTCATGTCAGTTTTCTGCTCTTTACTTGTACGGTGATTGTGATTCCATGTTTTGTTGTGATCTCTGGTTGTGATGCTTAGCCATACCAGGTATGCCATAGGTATGGAGTGTAGAGGTAAGGAGAAATAACTCCGTGCATTAAAAAATGGTCAAAAAAAGGGAAGAATTAGGATGGCGCTGCTGTAGCAAGAACCTAAAATTTAAGACATGCGCCGAACATTTTTAGAGCCGCTGAATCAGCTGATTCAAAAGACATAAATATTTGACGTGAATCGTAACGTGAAGCCCCGGGTTTCAAAAAAATACAAATTTAATTTTCATGTCACATGAAATAACTTACAGATTTTTATTCAGCAGCAATAGACTAGGCCCTTTTTTTATTGTTTCTCATAAGTTATTTCGCAAATGTCATTCAAGACGACGAAAAAATATTCTGATCGTTTAAGCTTAAAATTAATGTTAATTATAATTAAGAAAAATTTTATTTAAAGTAATAATTGGTGATAGGTTTAAAATAAATATAATGCAGCTTTAAAATAACTTCATACCTACATTTATTTAGTATAAAAGTAAGTCAATATGTGGTTTTATTATCGATTATTCAGAAGCAATAGACTGAGCCTCTTTTTTATTGTTTCTCATAAGTTATTTCGTAAATCCATTCAAGATGAAAAAAAATTAGTTTGAAACTAATATTAATTATAATTAGGAAAACTTTATTAAAAGTTTAATTGATGATATGGGATTTAAATAAATATAATGCAGGTCTAAAATAACGTAACACACTTTATTTAGTATAAAAATTAAGCCAATATAATATAATTTTATACTGTACAAGTATTTATTTACGTTTTGCCCCATCGTAGTTGCCATTCATTCAGAATAGTGGATTTTAAATGTTCGATAGTAGGATGGTTTAACTACCTTAATATCAACTACTTCTAGACAAGAATGGTGTGCAGTATTATCTTCTTTTTCACTCCCAGCTATTCCAACATGGCTTGAAACGTGAAATAATATAATTTTATAGCCCTTCCAGATGCTCATGTCTTCCTTGTAGTTCACCCAATAGAATCGTTCTCGCAGCTTCCTCTCAAGTTGGTAGTTGCTATTCATTCAGAATAGTGGATTTTAAATATATTTGGTAGTCGGATGGTTTAACTATCGTAACAATAACTACTTTTAATAATTCTTTTTCTCAATTCTTTGCACTATAATTTGCATCCAACGTATTGTAATATTTTCCTTTGAATTTCGTTTCCTATTGTCCCATGGCTTGAGACGTAATGTTATAGCCCTTCCAGATCCTCATGTATATGTCCCTTTTCCTTGTAGTCCACCCAATTGAACCTTTCTCTTAGCTTCCTCTCAAGTTGGTAGTTGCCATTCA